ACTTTCCGTACCCACTGTATATATATATATATATATATAATGCAATTTTAACCTTTAACTTCTTCTTTAATTACTTTCAATGTGATTTGAGTTGTCATTTGTTTCATTAGAACTATATAATGACAATAATAATAGGCTAATTAGTATCCTCAATTAAGTTGCGGCAGCAGTATGTTAAGTTCTTCACGCTAATAGTTTTGTCTGTCTGGATTCCAACTAGCAGCTCCCTTGAATATTTATAATAAAAAACCGCCATCTATACTAACAGAAATTATGATGAAATTATCAACCTCTACAATTCAAAACCCCGACAACTATGAGTGGTTTGGAACAGACATCAGTCATTCTAGGTAAGCTATTATGGGTAATTTGTTTAGTATGGCCCACCGTGGCATGGCAATTTGCGTTAAGCGTTAAGCAATGTTGCCAATCACAGACATATCTGTTGATTTCGAACACAATCAAAACGCCATTGTTTAGTGCTGAGTTCTGCACGCTCGCGAATCCTCTCATTATAACAAAGAACAGATTCATTAATTATAACAGAACTTTGTGAGATTGCCATGAACTGAAGGTAGTGACAGCTTTTTAGTGATTATAAAGGGAGCGCTTTTTGTGTGCTTTCTAGGCTATAGTCTATATAATCCATTCATCATTTTTCATTCATAAGGGCTTATTTTTAGTGGTGCAAACTTAGTTTTAGAGGACCAACTGGAACAAGTTACAAACTGTGCAGTTTCGCAAGCTCACAAGATCCACATCTGGAATGCATCTTGCAATCCGTCTCAAATGTGTTTTGGACCAGTCCATCATATGTTCTTTCTTTCTTTTAATTGAGACGGGTGATGCGAATTATCCACTTTCTGTATGCGCCACTGGTTCTGATGAGGAAAAATGTGAACTGTAAGATATAAACTCAAAATTGCAAGAAGAAAAGTATCTCAAAATTATGAGATAAAAAGTCACAATCGCTTTTTTTTTTTATATTCCTCGTCCATGACGGAAATAAGCTTCCATACAATAAGCTCGCTGGGATTGTGTTTTCAGAAATGACCTCGTCTGACAGCGAAAGTGAAAAAGACCAGCAAAAAGCAAAGTCTGGTAAGATCCAAAAACTCCGTTTCTCAGTTTGAGCTAAAAGTGATCTTACCATTCAAACATTTGTATCAGATGTATGTATGTTTATGAATATTTGTTGATAAATGTCATGGGCTCACCTTGTTTCTCAGTCACAATCTCTGTGTGATTTCAGATTTTCCTGTAGTAGTTTCTGTGGGTTTGCTCCTGCTGGCTCTGGTTATAGTGTTAATCTTACTCAAACTGAAACACAACAAACATGGTGAGACACAAACACACTACTGCACATTTAGAAAATATGAGCTTGTCTCCCTCTGCGGGTCAAAAATACTCACAGTTAAAATAATCTCTTATTTTCTGCATCTCAGATGTTGCTCTTGTTCACACAGGCTTAATTTCCTCAACAGACAGAAGACAGACAGGGGATCATGAAACGGTGAGTTTCAGAACTGTAATCTACATCTCAATATGTGAAATGTCTAAGCTGATACTCTGTGCTTCATGTTTTGGAGATTTCACTTCTTACAGACTCAAGAAGACATTCAAGACGCCAGAGACCATTCAGATTCTGAATCAAACCATCTCTATTCGACAGTCCAGTTACGCACAAACCCCTCTGATTCAGATAATCTACTTTACTCCACAGTACAGTCACCCACAATCCCCTCTGATGGGCTCCTGTACGCTTCTGTCAGTTTCCAGAAGCATGAAGAGTCTCTCAGTGACGCTACAGTCAGATTCAGTAAAGAGGAGATTCACTGTGATTACGCATCTGTCAGTCGCAACATCTCGCCAAATTAATATCACCACTGGATTTTTGTTTTTATATACAACTTGAATTGTGTCAGTCACTGAGCAAAATGACTGAATGACACAATCGTTCAATTTCATCGAGCAAGTTATTGAGCAGTCAGCGACACCGACAGGTCAGTGTTGGGAAAAACCTGAAATGTTTCTCTGTGACTGAAGAAAACATCACCCCTTACCCCTTGTTTACACTGCACAGGTCTGCGGCATGTTACGGCTCCAGCAAGGTTTTGTTTCGTCCTTCACGCAGTTAACTCACACCAGGAGCATTTCATTACTGTTGGATGCGTTATCCGTCAAAAATAGACTAGGCGCCTATCTTTAGCGAAGCAGCGTGTAGAGCAACTTCTGGGACGCTTCATAAGGGCTTTTTACACAGCACACTTCTGCGGTGTGTTACGGCTCCAACATGGCCACGGGAGCTGATCGCAGCCATTGAAATTTAAGGTTGAATCAAGTAGATGAAGCCAGGATTAAGCCAACGTGAAAAAGGTCTTTCGCCAGCATCTTAAACTAGCATATTTTTGGACATTACATGTGTTTTGCCTACTTATTTAATGACACCTGATTAACTTTTTTTCTTAAATCAATCCCAATAATATACTCTTAGAAGAAAAGAAGAAAATATTCTATATAGAATATTTTATGGATTTATTCATTTAGTTAGTTTTAATTCACTTTACTTGCATTTTATTAAATTTAATTAAACAGATTGTAAACATATCACCAGAAAAATAAATACATAAACAAACATTAAAGTATTATGCCATACATCAAGTTATTTATCCTTACAGAGAAGCTTTCTGGCATAAAGTGTTGTTTAAAATTGAGTCAAGAATCCTATTGTTCTATATAGAACCCCATGCAACCTTTTTCTCTGAATCTTATCTTATGTTGAATATTCATATTATTCAAATAAATAATGACTTAGTTAACATGTCCCCTTTTACGGGTGAGTTTTAATAAAGTTTTGTAAAGTGGTGAATGAGTGTTGCACGAGTTGATATTCAGACATCATAGTCATCCAGGTTTTATCTGAATATTTTAAGCAGTGAAGAAAGAAACAGAAACATTTGTTTGGAAATCCCATATTATGACAACTGAATACAAATGTACTGAGAGATACATACAAACAATAGGTGTTTTATATCTATCTATTTTTTGTATTTTAATGGCTTATCTCCTGCCAATGGAAAAATAAAATTATTTACAGCATTAAAATGAAAGAATTAACAAGGGTAAATGAGATTTTATGATTACAAATTACACCTCTGATTATGATTTATAGGTTGAAGAACTAGGATAATAAGCAGAAAGAATAAAGCTTGTATTTTATATAAGCATGCATTCATAATGGTCCATTTTTAAAATGCAGATAAACAACAGCAGAAGTGTGGTTTACCCATGAACCTGTAGTTAATGGATACATTGATGTATGCTCTTTTTTACTTTATTTTACATTTTAAAATTAAATTCTTTAAAAATACATTTTGAATTATTTGAATCATTTTTATTTTCAGTTTTTAGTCATTATGAATCTATTTGGATTATTTGATGATATTTTAATTCCTTTTATGTAAAGCACGTTGAATACCTTTGTGAATGAAACTTGCCTTACCCAGAATTGTGTGTACTTTTGTTTGTGGTTTCTGAGAATGAAGGCACATCACAACCTGATCATCAGTCTAATGTGAAGAGCTTCACTAAACGACAGATTCATTTACAATACCGTTTGATTGGACACACAACTAGCATCAAAGGTTTATAAAGGTTATATATTAAGCATGTAGTTAGACAATCATATTTATTTTGCATCCAAACTACGTGAATCTTCTTTTTCTTCTTCTTCCTCCTCCTCCTCCTCTTCTTCTTCTGTCACTTGCTTTAAGATTGTTAACCGACCTTCACCTGTTATATAACCCAGTCTTGTAATTGCTGCAGCTGCTAAAACTATAACTGCAGTAACTATTAGCATTCCAGCCCAACTAGAAAAAAAGCCTTCAGTGCTCTGTGCTGTAATCTTACCCAGAATTGTGTGTACTTTTGTTTGTGGTTTCTGAGAATGAAGGCACATCACAACCTGATCATCAGTCTAATGTGAAGAGCTTCACTAAACGACAGATTCATTTACAATACCGTTTGATTAGACACACAACTAGCATCAAAGGTTTATAAAGGTTATATATTAAGCATGTAGTTAGACAATCATATTTATTTTGTATCCAAACTACGTGAATCTTCTTCTTCTTCTTCTTCCTCCTCCTCCTCCTCTTCTTCTTCTTCCTCCTCCTCCTCCTCATCTTCTTCCTCCTCCTCTTCTTCTTCTTCCTCCTCCTCCTCCTCTTCTTCTTCTGTCACTTGCTTTAAGATTGTTAACCGACCTTCACCTGTTATATAACCCAGTCTTGTAATTGCTGCAGCTGCTAAAACTATAACTGCAGTAACTATTAGCATTCCAGCCCAACTAGAAAAAAAGCCTTCAGGAACTGTCTGCGGCATGTTGAAGTGCTCTGTGCTGTAACAGTGCCCTCTGTTGTTTCGCAGCATTCGCTCCATCTCCTCTAGCAGCTCTGTGACCTGATCTGTGTTTCGTCTGTCTCTGTTGTTGAACGAGTGATATCTGCCATCACACTGGTCGATCAGACGCTGGAGATCAGGACTTCGTCTGATGTGATCTTCCACAGATTCACCGTTCAGATGATCAGCGTGAGTGAAGAGGATGAAGGTGTAATTCACAGCATCTTCTCCAAAGTTGTTCTGAATCCACGTCACAAAGTTCCTCTCGTCTTCTGTGAGTTTCACATCCAGCCTGATGACCAGCAGAATCACATGAGGACCAGGAGCAGACGTAAGAGCACCGTTCTTTATCTCATTCATCAGATCCTCGTCACTGACTGCTGGGTTAAACAGTCCTGGAGTGTCGACTGCTGTGATGGTTCTTTGGCCCACAGCTGCTTTTTTACTCATACAAACTGAAGTAACAGCATTCTCGCTAAATATACTTTCACCCAGGATTGTGTTTCCAGTTGCACTCTTGCCTGATCCAGTTTTTCCCAGCAGCAAAAGCCTCAGATCTGCAGGTCAGAGAGAAGGTAACACTGATGAGGGGTGTCCAGTCCTGCTGCTATAAGGCCACCTTCCAGCAGAGTTAACTCCAAGCCTAATTAAACACACCTGAACCAGCTGATCAAAGTCTTCTGGATCATTTGAAAACGTCAGTGTGTTGGAGCAGGACTCTGCAGGACTGTGGTCCTCGAGGAACTGAGGTTTGCAGCCCTGCCCTAAATTCTCTGTGTGTACAAAACACAACTCGCTCCTGAAACTGCTGACACTGTGGTAACCATAGCAACATTCTGGCATCTTGGCATCATGGTCGGTATCCTCTATTCTGAACCAAGTAATATTACAGTGACAATAGACTTATGTTGAGCAATTGTAATAAAGCACATTCAGTGGGGACATATGTTGTTTATCCTTGTAAGGCTGCTTCACAGAGCTTACTCGTCCATGTCGTATTATAATAAGTGTTACTATTTTCAGTTAACCACTTGAAAAGTTGATCATATTTTTGATGCTCAGTCAAAGTAGCCAAAAAAGATAGTTAATACAGTAACTAATTACATTTACTCAAATACTGTACACCACTGTTCACTGTTGATAATGACCAGATCAACACAACAATCCCTGCAGTACTGCCTGCTGTTATATCTTTGGATCTGATACTTTTTTAAAGACGGTATAAAAGGAAATACATATAAATAAATAAATAAATGTAGGATAGTTAATACAGTAACTAATTACATTTACTCAAATACTGTACACCACTGTTCACTGTTGATAATGACCAGATCAACACAATCCCTGCAGTACTGCCTGCTGTTATATCTTTGGATCTGATACTTTTTTAAAGACGGTATAAAAGGAAATACATATAAATAAATAAATAAATAAATAAATAAATGTACGGGGAAAAACACACAAAAACAGATATGCACTAACCTTGTTCATAAGCTTTCTTTAATTCATCAATCAGATATATGACTTTGCTTTCTAACTCCAGATTCTTCTGACTCAAAGAGTCAAAGTTTCTCTGTAACTGGTCTTTTTCATCAGTGAGATCTTTGATTCTGGTCTCCAGCTCCAGATTCTTCTGAGTCAAAGAGTTGAAATTGTTCTGCAGTTTATCTCTTTCAGTAATTAGATCAGTGTAACTGACAATCCCTGCAGTACTGCCTGCTGTTATATCTTTGGATCTGATACTTTTTTAAAGACGGTATAAAAGGAAATACATATAAATAAATAAATAAATGTAGGGGGAAAAACACACAAAAACAGATATGCACTAACCTTGTTCATAAGCTTTCTTTAATTCATCAATCAGATATATGACTTTGCTTTCTAACTCCAGATTCTTCTGACTCAAAGAGTCAAAGTTTCTCTGTAACTGGTCTTTTTCATCAGTGAGATCTTTGATTCTGGTCTCCAGCTCCAGATTCTTCTGAGTCAAAGAGTTGAAATTGTTCTGCAGTTTATCTCTTTCAGTAATTAGATCAGTGTAACTGTCCTGTAAGTCGTTGATAGTTTTATTTAACTCCTCAACTGTGTTCCTGTAACTCTGCAGGTCTTTCTCTCTTTTGATGATGAAGACCAGAAGAACACAAATGAGCCCGCGACTCAGTGTCACCAGCCATCTACTTCCTCCTGACAAACAGGGAGAAAACACACAAATATCAATTATTAACTGTTCACTGCATATTACAGTGTTTGCATAATTATTATGAAAGTCAATATTCTGAGAATACTAATATCTTTTGAAGCCCATTTTAAAATTTCCAAACCACATTAATCTTGATAACTAAGATTAACTTTGTATACAATCATTTATAAGTGATATGTAGTTGCTAATGAAGGCTGGAAGTGAAAACACCTTTCCTTCAGTGGCTCGGAAAAGGTCCAGTGTGGTATATTTCTTTGCTCTTGGCTGACATGTGGCATTGCTATGGCCTGCTTTTGGCCCAGATCTGGCAAACAGGAGCAGTCCGCCCAAGTGCCATCATTACACATATGCCAGATGTGGGCCGGATCTGGGCCGACACTATGTTGCTATCTGTCTCCAGTGCTACCATTGTCCAGGGCCCATATTTATCAAACTTCTGAGAATTATTCACAAGAGCACTGCTAAAAATTGACTTAAAGGTGTCATCGGATGCGAAATGCACTTTTACATGTTATTTGAACTGAAATGTGTGTTGGCAGTGTGTGTACACAACCACCCTATAATAATAAAAGTTTTTTATAATCTCCTAAAATCATTATCCCTTTCTCAAATCGAGCCGTTCTCAGATTCCTGTCTGTGTGACGTCACACAGACCCAGGCCCCTCCTACGGTTGTTGATTGACAGTGGCGTCAGTCTTTGGTTTTATCACAGCTCCGCCCTGAGTGAGCTGTCATCAGTCCGCCATTGTTACACCGCCGGAGCAGATGTAGACAAGAATGGCTCCTAAGCGATTGAGGTGTTCTGTTGTTGATATAATAATGAACACAGCAGTCGTCAT